GGATCATCTTTATCTCCCAACGTTGGGAATCGATTACTTGTCGCAAAAGCGTGTATGTTGCATTTAAGCGGCTGTTTGCGAGCCGCGCTTTAATCACAATGCCTTATCCCAAGGCTTGCTGTATTACAGGACGGACTCGTATGCACTTGGTGTTTCATGATGGAATCCCAAAGGCAGAACGCTAATCGCGGTATGTTATACCCTTTTAGCTGCCCGATTTGAATAAAAATACATACTGCTCGTCGAGCGCTACAAATTTATGGCCAATACGTATAAGAGAATAAGTGCATGTGAAGGCGCGTAAAAAGGCGGCCAACCAACGGTATCACCGTTGGCTGGCCTGCCGATTTTTTGTGAAACGTTGGCAATCCGAAAATTTGTACAATGATCTCAGATCCGAAAGACGTGTTTGGTGATACTAGCATTATTGTTGCTGCTTGCCAGACAGCTCATTAATGCTGTCAGCAATAATGCTTTCTGCAGGGATACAGCCAAACACTTTTCCGAAGTGTTTCATCAACAAGTTAACCGATAGCAATTGTATCTGATCGATTTCCACAATTTTTAGCGAAATTTTGGAAATTGTTATTTAAAATACTCAGCACGAGTTTGGGTATATCAATGACTAACCATTTGCTAATCGAATGCCAGTCGAGACACGCTTATCGCGTTGTTGTAGATACGCACTTGCTTAGAGAGATTGCGATGATGTGACGTATTATCCACAAATCGAGTTTGCATTGGATAACTCAATATTTGTTTCTACAAGTTTTATCTCATTCAACAAAAATGAATCGGTAAGCCCTCAGTTGAAAGTTGCTATGTATTCATATTACACGGCTATACCTACTCGGTCCTGACTAAGATATTACATTGCTTAATTCCGCTGGTTTTTGTTTATTCTTGACTTTTCTTGTACGAGTCGCCATCTCGAAGTCCATTTTGGCTGTTGTCGGTAATATTTAGCATGCAGCCGACATTTATTGCATGTCTGGTACGATTACGCTTTTGTTCTCTGAGGGGCTCGAGCCCGCGCCACATAACGTTAGGCCCAGAAGCATTGACCACTTGACCCACGCCACCGGGTCTCGGTAAGCCCTCAGGTGTCAGTTACACCGTCACAAAGTGGTTGTTAAGGAGATTTCGATCCATTTTGCTTTGCTGAAATCAGCCGACTTTACCTTGACAAAATCATTTATTTATCGTAATGTTTGACGCTATTTCTGAGAACCAAGATAAATAACGACAGCACGCCGATGTCAAAAGCAGGCGGAGCATACACTAAATATTGGAGTAATCTGTTTATTTGAGTGTAACTAATTTAATTGCATATGTGCTGTCTGCGGTCTATAAGACTGAGTTTTGATGGCGCTGTATCGGACCGTTACGGCTGCTGTGATAGAATGATTAAGTTATTATCCTGTCAACTCGTAGTGAATGCGATCACATCCAGTGTTGTGCGTGGGCTTACCGTGATCTTGCTCTTGCAAGCTTGTCGGACGCAACAAGCTCTATTGCGGACGAAGAAGCGTCTTCACTGTCCTTTGAAGCCGACCTAGCCTCCGCTCCGAAGCGGTGACGCAGTTCTTAACCGCTCATGGTTTTTCAAGCCTGGCAATGTGATTACAAAATCATAGGTGTATTCGGCAAAAGTTTACGTCAGCTTTGATTGCACGCCGATTCATTCAAGAAAGTTGACGTGCTGCTACGACCGAGCGAGCAGTTGATGTTCGCTGGATCTGTTTCATGGGAAGATGCAGGCTGCTTTAAGGTGAAGTGTTTGTTGGTCCAGCCGATGCACAAAAGCTCTTACAAATATCTGATGAAGTTGAAGGGGTATTCTTTTCTGCATGATGCACATAATCCTGCAGTTTTATTTTTGGCAAGATTTCTAAGGTTTCGCAAACGCAGACGATTGATCTGACGCACCCTCAGCCTTCGCCGTGCTTGGAGAAGAAGATGTGTCACCCGGCGCAGCAATTTTCAATAATGTGGGGACCGACTTTGTATGGATAAGGGTCCTCGCTCGGCAGCTATCTATGCTGACTCATGAAGACGAGCGGGCTAGGAGCAACAGGAACTTGATGTGATGATTGGACTGTCATTTCAACATTCGGGTTATGCTTTGTATTTTAGATGTCAAGCATTAGACGATGCTCGAATTGAACGTTTTCTTAATCAAAGCTGGCCTGTCAAACCTTATGACGAGTGCGATTGTTCGCTCTCCTATCTTTATTACGAACTCAGTTTGATTGTCATCGACACGTCAAACACACAAAGTACATTCCTCGTGGATGATACGGGCTCTTTCAAACGCTCCTCCTCAAAGCGCAGCGGAGATCGCGATGCGATTTTGTATTGGTCATTTTGCTCTCGGTGTGAAAAAAAATCCGCACGCATAGGCGTTTCCCGTTTTGCGGGCTCTGCTCAAGCGCGTTTAAAATCTTGAGATGACTCAGCTCGTAATAACCACGTGATGATTTGTTTAAGAGTCCTACGACTGTTGAGCATACAGTTATGTCGATTGGGCTCCCTGAGCCAGGTCATGTTTGTTAATTTTAAGCTAAACATTGTCGTGAATTATATGGCGGAGAGCCAAGACACTTCCACCGTTCAAAAGAGGGAACAAAGTATGTCATTTGTCAAGAAAATAGTTTGATTGCAGTATGCGCCTCTTTTCGGGGAGTGACAAGTCTGTGTATCCTCAGGTGAGAAGAGAGGTATCTGGGCAAGGTCTGGTAGGTGGCTGCGATTGTTTTTATCAGAGAATACCTCGGTATCGTCACTGATAAGTGCTTGAAAAGCGTCAGTCGCGAGGATCGTAACTTCGCGAAAGCTTGATGAGTCTTTTGATTAAAGATACCAGAATATATTGCCGGTGGGAGTATGTCCTCAGGTATAAGAAAAGAAAAGGCAGAGGGTAATTTATAACCCTAGACACAGTTCTTATTGTAAATTGCACTAAAATTTGATGAATTGGTAAAATTAAGAACTGTCTTATCAAAATGATTTGTATCAGAAGTGTCCGGTGTATGTACACCATAGTACAGAATTATTTGCGTTCAAAGCCTTTCCCACTAGGATATGGACCACACCAGAAATCACATATTCGTCTTTCTAAAATACTAGGCAAAATTTACACGCAACTTAGTCCAACCCCTACAACACAGAATGTTTGTGACTTTTTAAAATGTGTCGCACATGTACCATACTGTATTCCCTCTTCTTATAAATTTCTACCATGCATGCAAAAGGAACATCAATGTTGCAGCGGGACTCTCGTAGCTCTTTCGCTTAGAAAGCTTGGTTAAGGTTGGTGACCTCCGTTCTACACTTAGACCAGTACGAGTTTAGCGGATCGCAATCCGCTTACTGCAAGTGTAATTACAACCTTAACCCAAGGCTAATTAACTCTTCCGTTTAAACCGAAGACTTTATTTCTCGATTTATTTGCGGCAAAGCCGTCTATATCTAAATCTATAGGGTTCCTATTGCTATAGTAAAACCTAATTAAATGAAAAGCTGCTGGCAGTCCAGCCACGTACTTGATTCTTGTGTAAGTGTAGCCACACCATTGTGTGTTCATACCCATCCTGAGTAATCCATACTATTGTATGGTCACTCCATCTTGTGTGACCCACCAGGGCACGCGAAATTCCGTTACAGATGTACGTCATGTAATGCATAAGTGAGATTCCTTTCACCTACCATTTTCAACCTGAACAGAACGCAAGACACTTACTTTTTCCGACTTCCGGTCGACCATGGCTCGTGGCTTTTCAACCACACCATGTAATGCTAATGGGATCGGATCTCCAATTTAGGCCAAAAATTAGGCAAAGAATCATGTTGTCAAAATCCTTGAAATTACCCAGGTTTGCAAGACATGCAACATGGAGCAGTGCCGATCGCAAGATGCACAAATATCGTAAATGGATTTGGTATTTTAAAAGCCACAGGGTGGAAATTTTACTTTTTTACTAGTCATGCGACGTACCCAATTTTTGACGCTTCTTAATCCATTAGACTTTTCGCGACTTCACAGAGACGTGGGATATTGTGATTAACAACCTAGAACCCTTGGGCCAAGCTCCCAACGGTCTTAAATAAAGCAGCTCATTCTGAGGCTAAGGTCCCATTGTAACGGGGTTGCACTTACCCATAGTGTAACGGAGCTACACGTACCCTTGTATGAAAGGAAGGGTAGTGTGACGTACTTAGGCATGGATTACACAAGTTGGTGTAATCACACAGTACCAAGAAGCCACTACGTGGCAGGGTTGTCAGTAGTGATGCATAGTAATTAGGTTTTACTATTTAGACAGGTATACTATTTATTCAGGATAACAGATGATTTAGATATTGGCGACAACTAAAACAATTTAGTACAGTTTTAATTTTAAACTGGAGAGTTCATCTACCTTGGCTAAGGTTTTGATATTATCGGAGGCAGCGATTGCGATCCGCTGCACTCGTACTGTTGGGTAAAAAAGAACGTAAGATTGGTAACCTTAGCTTAGCTTCCTCTAGGCGAAGAGCTACGGCAGCCACGCTGCACTTGGTAGCACTCGTAGTCACTGTACGCTTAAGTCATTACAACTGATCCTCTGAGAGGATGGAGCAATACTCCTATTTGCCACAGGGAATGCAGGCCGGGCTTAATTAGCTGATG